TGATTTACCTTCTCGTGGGGTCAGTGTGTGAAGCCATTCTGTCTTTTTGTTGAATCATCTTTCAGTTATTACTGTCCATTTTCATTAGCGTGTTTCATCGTGTGTTCATTCATAGAGATCATTAAAAAGTACAAAACTGGGTCAGCACTTAATAATTGTATTTATAAAAAGAAAACATTTAGACGATCAAATGCCCTTTGCTCACTGCAAGAGCTAATCATTCATAAGAAAACAGATAAGATCATTTCATTCTAAATTACTAAAGTTTCCTGAATTTAATATAGATTTAATATTGGTGTTCTTAAAACTTCAGAGGTATCAAGCTGATGGTCGGCCTGTCTGTTTTGCCAGAACACAGCTCTAGATAAGAAGACCATCCAGCTCACCACCCGTCGTCGTCCAGGGCCCCAAACAGTGCCATGTCCACTACAGTCGACTGGCAAGAAAGTCCTACCTGCCCCTCCAGTCAAACTGGCCTCGCCAACAAAGTCAGGACTAGCCTCTCCAACCAAATGGGCATCACGCGCCAAAGAACCAAAACCTGCAAAGCTGCCGTCACCCACCAAGACCGGGAGGACTGCTGCGCCTGGTGCTACATCCACCTCTAACGCTCCTTACTCTCATTCCACCACTGACAGTGTTGATTTTCCTCCCTCTGCTCCTGTCAGTTCACTTAATTTCTCCCCTTCACCCATTGCTGAAACGTTCCCCATCACCTCTTTGTCCGTTTCCGTCCCTCCTGAAATAAGAACATCACCTACATCACCCTCCGCCGCTCCCTGCTTATCTCTAGAAACTCCCTCACCGTCCGGCCCCACTCCTCCTTTCACCTACGTAACTCCCTCTACACCTGTCTCCTGTCCTTCCCCATCATCTCCAACCAAATCAGCTCAAACCTTCTCTTCTCCCACCAAACCATCTTATTTTTCTCCCTCTTCTCCCACCAAACCAGGTTCTTTTTCTCCCTCTTCTCCCACCATACCAGCTTCTTTTTCTCCCTCTTCTCCCACCAAACCAGCTTCTTTTTCTCCCTCTTCTCCCACCAAACCATCTTATTTTTCTCCCTCTTCTCCCACCAAACCAGCTTCTCTTTCTCCTTCTTCTCCCACCAAACCAGCTCTTTCCTTCTCTCCTACCAAAGAGGCAACGTCCCTATCTTCTTCTCCCACAAAACAAGCTTCTCCCTCCCCAGTCTCCCCCATCCAACCTGCTGTATTCTTCCCTCTCTCTTCCCCAACCAAACAAGAACCTTCCTCCCCTTCTCCCATCCATCCAACCCTGTTTCCCTCTCCTCCTTCTACTCCTCCCAGATCCACAACCCCGCCCTCTCCCACTGGCCCTCCTTCTCCTCCCAGCCCTCTACCAGCTGAAGAGCTTATGGATAAGAGTTAAACGGCAGGTCAGTTGTGTAGCCAATGTCACCCCTCTCACTCCTTCTCTTTACATGTATGTATGAGAAAACATGGGATGAGGAGGTTAAAACTCCACCTCGAGCATCTCCAGTAGCTGTAACCTGAGCCAGTGACTGCTGTGTCCACATTTTCTTCTCATTCTTAAGCCACTCATTTTCAGAGACGAAGGATACAAGGCATTTTCTAAGAGTTTGTCGATTGTATATTTGTTTGTATTTATTAATAGAGGATGCAGAGAAGGGAATTAACTGAATATATCACTGTTCTGAGTGGTTTGTCTTTGGAAATCATGTGTTACTACAGTATACCACGTTAATGTGAATTCTTTCCTTTATTTATTATCCCATTTTGGCTGCCTGTGGCTCTTTTGTAGATAGTTTCAATACACACACACACCATTGTGAACTCCTGTTGCTTTGGTATAGAGACCGTATGTCCATAATACAAGTATTTCAGCATATCAGACATCTGAACTTGCTAGCCTAGCTACCTGCAGTGTAATCCAACTACTGAATAACTACTATCAGTATGTTCTCTGACCACAGCCATCCCGATGGTAACCGCACATTTACTGTTAAACTTAAGATTCCTGTTAATATATACAAGTACAGTGGGTTGACAAAATAAATGTAATACCTACCAGAGTAGCTATCCAAACAGATTTACTTGGAGATTCTGTGCATTTGCAATAATGCCTCGAAATAATGCATGTAAAAGTGGCAATAATCAGACATAAATGGCTTTTCTCATTCAATTTAAAGGATATGTTCATCCAAATTACAAAAAAAAACATCTTCTCTGTCACCTCTTGTGTAGTGGTTCCAAAAGTTTTTGGCTAATAAACTGCATACGTCTCTGCATTGTGGCCATTTCAACCAAAGATTCAAATTGTATCATTTAAATAAGACTAGGGGCCTGAAAACTATCCATTAATCCATAAGCACAAATCAAACATCAAGACAAATCCGAAGAAATAAACACAATTTTGTGTGTTTTTCTGCTTTCCTATCCCGTTAATCATGACCCCACCTCTCAGATTTATCTTGTGACCCATGGGAGTGGGGTTCCCTCCACCATTTTAGAGAAACCTCTCCAGATACTAATAAAAGTGAGGTGAAAGTTCTGTCTATCCATAGTATCTTAATTGTTTTATTATTTATTTTTAATTTGGATGAACTGACCCTTTAACATCACTTGCCTGAGTGTCTGCCTTTGGAATAAGTAAATAAGTCAGTTTGGTAGATTATGTTGTGAACCCACTGTAACTGGCACATTCATCCACAGACTGTATGTATTATTTGAAGTAAACATTTTAGTTGTACATAGTGTGAAGAACCTTAGTTGTGAACCTGAAACTTGAAGGATTGTTTTTTGGTGTGTGTATGTCTGAGCAGTCATAACTGCTGTACATAGAAATAGAGAAAATAGATCCAACAGACATGAAACCAGGTTTGTTTCTAAAGAACTGAACTGCTACAACGACAATACTGCACAGACAGGACACACATTTATCAGTTGATTTAGTTGCCACTGACAATGCTATACTGTGGGTTGCATGAAACTCGTCACTGTTCCTTCAAACAATGGTTTTTGATCTGTTGGATTTATATGAATGAATGAATGTGTTGTCAAGGTGACGGGTTTGTGCCTGACCACTAGCTAACAGCTCATAGCTTAAAAGATGCCTTTATCAAAACCAGCTCGGCGGAAAAATGGGGTTTTAAAATGTGCATCCTAAAATAAGTGATTTGTTTTTTTGTGTTTTACCTGTTTTAAACTCCACAGCATTTATCCCAGCTGGTGTTAGTAGGGCTTTCTCCTAGTGGTTCAACATGACTCTTTACCTCTCTTCAGGACTTTCAGCTGCATGCATACTCCTCTCTCCCCACTTCCTGCCTCCCTGTAAGACAAAATCTTCACACATACACAAACTCAAGTTGGTACATAATGTCATTTAGCTTCCTCCTATGTATATGTAGTTAAATTAGATTTTCATAAGCAGTTTGTAAAGGGAAATTTGTATGAAAAGACAGTTTTAAAACAGGAATCATCTGTGTCAAACTGGAGTAATGTTTTTTTTAGGCATAGAGTGGCTGCTTTTAATGTCCTACAGCAAAAAATTAAAATGCAATAAAGACTTCAAATGACTTGTTTGTCTGCTGTGAATAATTGCGTGTGTGAGTGTGTGGCCACAAGTTGGCCACAGGATGGTGCTATGGAGTCTTTGTGATTCCTAGTGAAAAAATACACTTACACCAATTCAAGTTATAAAATTCAATTTTATTGTCAGAACTCGGCACACAAAACACTCCAAAATGATTGCAAAAAAATATTGGTTGAAAGAAGTTCTCATAACTGGAGAAACAAACCACATCAAAGCGCAAACTTTAAAGGAATGTTTCCTCAAAATCAAAGATACAAGTGGACGTTTATTTTACTGAGGAACAAAGGAAATGATCTCATTGCCATTTTAGTGCTAAATCACATCTTAACATAAACACTCATCCTGTGATTTAGATTGCTGTGATGAAAAAAAAAAAAGAGACCCTCAGATTGAAATAGAGTAAGTCCTTCCTTTCATTGCACATCTCACTTTGCTGTTAGCTGCTCTGGAGACAGGACTCAAAGAAGACTTAAGAGATGCTAAGCTGGCTTAAGCACTGAGTATTATGATATGACATGATTTTTATTTAGTGATTTGAAGAAAAAAAAAGTGATCTCATACTCTCAGTTTTTTACAGACATTAACCAGGAGTCCCATTTTTAGGAGAAAAAAATTACTGTCACTTATTCAGTCATTTAGGAAATAATGTAATGATGTAAAAAGAGCAATGTTTTTTTTCCTGACATCTTCCTTTACATAACGCTCATCTTTAACATCACTGGGTGGGAGAGGGAAGTGTTTTTAAAGTTTGAAGTATTAAATGATAATAGGTCTGCGCTGATGCGTTTCATATGAGTAGTGAACCATGCACAGAAATGCAATCTCTTAGCAAGCAGAGAGGTATAGAGGGAATGGACATTTTAAATATGGAGGACTACATTTAAAACTGAATATATAGATATTTATATATGTATATTCCCTCTTTGTTTATCCTTCTGTCCAATACATTTATTATTTATTCAAACATTTCATATCTACCGGCTGTGGTGCCAAAATGGCAAAAAGCTGTGAATGATAGCTTAATAATTATTCCCCACATACACACCTACAGAAAAAAAGGAAAAAAAAAATCACTCACCCTAAGGTACACAAATATTTGGATTTTTAAGTCAAGAAAAAAGGTTCTCACTAGCTCCCCATAAATCCCACTTTTCTTTCCAGAGGAGATGAAAATAGACTCTTACAGCTAAAAATAGATTTGTTTTCAACCGTACAGTAACATAACCCCCACCCCTATGATTTATATGAAAATTGTCTATCTGATCTACAAAATATAGCAATGCCCTTTTTAAAAATAGTTTTTACTATAACAGGACAGATTTTTTTTCTTCTTTCATTAAGATACATTCAGGATATCAGGATATAGACAGAATAGTGCTTTTGATAAGAGTTCACACACAGTTTGGATCTTTGTCAGTATCAAACTTTGTCAGTCAAGTAGCTGCTGTTGTTGTCAGCTCAGTATCTCGTCTGGTACTCATGGTGCCATCTGTTGAAGTCGTTGTAGAAGAGTACGATACTTCCAGATGCCATGCCAGTTATGATGCACCTTAGAAAAGTTAGGAGGAAACATTGTGAGGTTTTGTTTGATTTAGTTAAGTTAGAGGATGCTAAATCTGTAACAGGTGAGCCTGAATGTAGGGGGCAGTGGAAAGTAACTAAGTTCAACCAACTAAACCAACAAGTACAATTTTGAGGTGCTTGTACTTGAGTATTTGAAGGAAAAATTTTACTTTTTACTCCATTATATAGTTATTTTAAAGATTTATATACAAAACACATGATCAGCCATTAAAATATGTCATAGATGAAACTACGAAAACAGTATAATAAAAAGTTATTATAATCTGCTTCACCTCAGCTACAACATTAAAATGCTGCTTACATGTTAATGCACCAGTAATAACATATATGACTGCGACTAACAGTTATTTTCAGTAAGCATTAATTGTTGTATATTGTTTTTGCCAATAACTCAACCAACAGTCCAAAGCTCAAAGATATTATTTACTATTATAATTTTGTTTTAAATAATGATATAAAACAGAGAAAAGCAGCAAATCCTCACACTTTAAGAAGGAAGACACAGCAAATATTAAGCAGTTTTTCAATTAATGAATTAATCAATGTTCAAAATGTTGATGATTAATCTTCTGTTGATGGATTAAACACTTCAGACCTACATTTTGAATGCTGGACATTTTGTCATTGTGGTATTGCTAGTTTTACTTAATACTTATTCAGACAATAGTTGTAGACTATGAATACTTACTAGTGTATATGTCAGGTGATAAGTATTCAGTGTTTGTAGTGAAATGTCCCACCGTTCATGGTGCAGTGACAATTCTTTCAAAAATAATTTAAGACATCCTTGTCAAAATGTTACGAGGTTATGTAAAAACAAACACTGTTGGCCATTAAATGTGGGTTGTTGTTTCTTTTACAGTAAATGGTAAATGGACCTG